AGAGGTGCCTTGTAGGAGATCCTGGCAGAAAGAACCTTGCAGCAGGTGCTGAACAGCAGGCTGATCGATGAGCTGATCGATGAGAGGACACATCAGCACGTGCAGAACCAAGCAAACTAGAAAGCAGGCAGATGCAGGATCTCGGGTAGTCAAGCAGGCAGGAGTCAGTATCAGCCAAACAGTGGAGGTGCAGAATCAGGAACTAAAACAGAGTCAGAGCCAGGCCAGAGTCAGTATCAGTGGAGCAGGGAAGGAACCAGAACAGAAGGCAGGGCCAGGTAACAAGTCAGAGTCAGCAACGAGGTATCAGGAGCAAACAGGGTCAAGAAAAGCTGAACAGTACAGGATCAGGTTCACAAACAGTAGATTCCTGCACGAGTTAGGGCACATCTAGTCGTCACTCAAGAATTATTATGAGCATGTGCACATTTTTGCACACGACTGTGCATACAATTTCCCTGACAGTGAGGTATATAATTCAATTTACAAATTTGATTACACATTTCGGAATATGGGGTGGAAAAGAGCTTTTTTTCATAACTGCATTTAGTCTTTAATTGAGACAACTAGAGCAATACGCAGGTTAAGGAAAAAGAAATTGAACCAAGTGTTGCTGTGCTCTTTTACTCCAAGGGGCTTCATAACAACCAATGAGCCTTGTGCAGGAAGCTGTCATATTCATGACAGTTTACTAGAAGGGATGATATGACTTTGGCAAATGCCTGAACTTTTTTCTGTTTGGCAGGAGCTAAAAATTATATATAGGAGCTGTATTTCCACCGCTTCTATACATGACAGTTTCCTGCTGTTACTGGTTCCTAAGGAACCACCTGTGGTGTCCCTAGGAATCAGTGACACCACCAGGAATCTCTGTCACTTAAGAAAAGGGCCACTTGCCATATTTGGGCAATGACAGTTACACAAATGTGGCCATGGTCATATTTGGTTAATGATTTCACCACCATCCCCTCCCCTTATAAATCTGAAGATAGCTTGGGGGCTGTAATTTGTGCACATGTGCACATGTACTGCGCTCTGAGGGAACACATACCATGACTCTTGTGTGCCTGAGCCCCATGCCAAGGACACGTGACCTGGTAAGGCATGGGGGATGGGGGGGGGGCACTCATTTGCACACATACACCCCTTTCCTCCTCACATGCCAGACCTGTGCTTGGATTAAGGGTCTGGTAGGAATTTAGAGGGGACTCTACGCTTTCCCCCCTTTTTTAGGGGGTGGGGTTCCCCTTAAAAGCCCTTCCAGGCATAAAAGGCATACAAATTTCTTACTGTGGGGTCCCTCCTAACCTTTCTACCAGACCTAAAGGGGTTTATTTACTAAAGCTGGAGAGTCCAAAATCAGACTCCCTTCTGCATAGAATCCAATCAGCTTCCAGGTTTCATTGCCAAAGCTTCATTGAACAAGCTGAGGTTAGAAGCTGATTGGTTTCTATGCAGAAGGGAGTCTGATTTTGGACTCTCCAGCTTTAGTAAATAAACCCCAAAGGGTCTGGTATGGATTAGATGGGGGGACCCCACGCTGTTTTTTTTTTTTTTTTTTTAAATAAAAGTGTAATTTAAAAAAAAAAGTCAGTCCTGCTGCAGCAGATTCTATACATTGTACAGATGTGCAACTTTGCTGGACCCCCCCCCCAGGCATGATATTTAAAGGAATTTTTATATTTTTTTTTTACTCAAAGTAATACAAAATGACTGTCCCTTTAAAAACGGTACTTTGTAATTTTTTTTCACTGAGTCATGTCCCTCATGGCAGTACCCGAGTCCGCATACCCCTTTTATAGCCAATAACTTGCATATAAGCCTTCAAAATGGGCACTTTTGAATTTACAAGTTCAAGTCCCATAGACTTGCATTAAGTTCGAAGTTCATTCATTCGTTCATTAGGTTCGAACCAAACGGGGATGTTCGCCCCATCACTAATTATTATATTAACTCAGCATACTAGTGCTTGAATAATCATTTAGGCTCAACACCTGGGACTTCCCATGCCAATCAACCAGGAACAGTAAGAAGCCAATCAACAATCATTGTTATTAGTCCATTTAACCCTGGTTAGATGCGACATGCAATTTACAAATCGCACCCGGATGTATTTATATGGCATTGTCTTAATAGGTGCCATTTCGAGTAATGCAATTTGAAAAATAGTTCCTGCATTTCTTTTTCGCCACTTCAGTGTTATTTCACTCTCATAGACTATAAGGTAAATGGCACTGAAATCGCACCTGTGTCTATATCAGCGCTACTTTGAATTACTTTGAAGTTGTGCTTTAACCTTTTCCCGCCTGGCTCATTGCCAATAAACGGCTGGACGGTAGTGTGCTGCCGATGCAGGGGGGATGTTTCTAAACGTCCCCCCGCATCCATTGCCTATGTGAGCTCCCTGGAAGCACGCAGCACTGTGATCTGTGCCCGCTGTGTCCAGTGGAACGCGTGTACGGGTGTCCAGTATACGGGACCGCTGTGTGAGGTCCCGATTCATGTGATCACTGATTGGCCAATCAGTGATCACATGAACAGTAGTAAACAAGATGTCACTGCCTGACATCATTGTCTACTACTAAATCTGTGGATGTCACAAAGGTCATGGTAGAAGGCTATTCACAACAGCCTTGTACCATGTGACAGCTGTGACCAATCACAGCTCTCACAGTATTTCTCAATGGCTGCAGGAATGCAGGAAGAGAGAAGGAGAAATGATTGCTTTTACAGCCTTTATGGATGTAAAAGCAATCAGTGTAAAAAAAACAAAAAATCTTCATGACCCCTATCAACTATGGTGACACTGTACTGCTAGGGTGACAGTATGTAAAAAAAAAAAACAATAGTATAAAATAAAAATGAAAAGAAAAAATATTTATTTTTTTTATAAACTAATTTGGGTATTTTTTTGTTTTTACCAAAAGATAGCTGAATACATTTTGGCCAAGGTTTATAAAGAAAGACAATTTATTTGTAAAATTGTATAAGAAAAACACTTTTTTTCTCAAAATGTTTGGTCTTTTTCATTTATATGGAAAAAAAAATAATCCCAGTGGTGAATAAATACCACCAAAAGAAAGTTTTATCTGTCTCAAAGAAATGGGGTACAGTTTTGCATGACTGCGCAAATGTTATTCAAAGTGTGATAGTGCTGAAAGCTGAAAATTGGCTTGGGCTTAAGGGGATGAAAGTGTCTGGAACCACTTTGATATTTTTCGGTGTGAACCAGGGCTTAACTGCAAGATAATATATTTTAGTGGGTGCTCTAAGAAACTGAAAAAACAGTGCTCTGTACACTTTTTTATTTGGTGTTTTTATTGGGGTTGATTTAATAAAGGCAAATAGACTGTTCACTTTTCAAGGGAAGGTGTACTGTGTAAAATAATTTTCGCCAGAGCTTAGTTAATGTGGTGAAATTTTGCAAAGCTATCCAATTAAAAGCACAAAAACCCCCAAAAAACAGGATTTTTGTCTGCATATGATTGGATGATGGAAGTCAGCAGTACATTCACTAATGCAGGCCATACATGGTTCGAATTCTGAATTATTTTTTGTCCAAAATTTGGAAACGTCGTTCGCTTGGTAATCCGATGCTGCCATCAATGATTTCGAAAATCGACCGACCAAGTCATAAAGTTCACCCCATACAACAGGCGAAACTTCTGTTCCTTACAGGTCATGGCTCATGTGCATATTCTTTTCAGAAAAATGATCGTACAATTTGACCATTATTGAGTCGAAAATTGCTTGTTTTTCACAAATTTTCCAACATGCCCGATCACCGAAAAGGGGAGGAACCATGAAAATCGGCCAGTGCCATTGCCTCACTAACAGAGCAAAAATCGGCCAATTATTTTTAGGTCCGATTTTTGGATGAACATTCAGACGAATTTCGACCCATGTATGGCCGGCCTAAGCCCTGGGGAAAATTTCCTTCCAAAAGTGAACAGCCTTTACTAAATCCACCCCAGTGTTCAATAGTAGATCTATTTTATTCTAAAACCTAATGCTTTGATAATAGATACATACTATAAATATTTGCTCATTTTGTGTGTTGTGTTCAAACTCTTTCTAATTTTTCACCATGTAATAATGAATGTATATTTTGTGTATCTTTGGTATGACTACCACTTACAATGCCTGATAATTATAAACATGGTTCCATGAATCCTAAAGTGAATATATTCACATTATTTGTAGAAACATAAACATAATATAGCACATTCATTCACTTTAATCAAGTTTGTAATTAACAGAAAAAAAACTTCTGCAGTACCAGGTTGATTGAAACGTGTTAGGAGGCTAATTACTCAGGAAATTGTTCTACAGTATGAGGTCGACAAACTACGGGATGAAATTAGCAGGCATGTTTAATTACATATAGGTGAAGTTTCAGACATATGTCACTGGCAGACTGAATCTATTTTCTGGCAGCTAGTAAGGTACCATTCTAAAGCAATTTTGGAATTATCAGAGAAAATATTTCTTGACTGCTTTAGTAATTTTTTTGCTCATTTTAGCTACAGCTGCTTGGACAAAATCTTTTCATTTCAAGGTACTGTAATGTGCAGAACATTCAGAACTTTGTTAGGCCCCTATGCAAAGTGATGGCTTTAAGTCTGCTTTAAAATATATGACAATGCTTGCAATAGAGCAATTTAACAGTTTGGACATAACAGATATACTCACTGCTTTTTGCCCTGCAGGTAATGTTCTTTGTCTTTGATTGTACCTGCATTGTAAAGAGGCACCACACTGTTTTAGTAAGTTCAGGTTATAGGAAAAGATGTATATTAAAGTGTTACTAAACCCATAGCAGTAAAATCAGTCTGTATATGCAGTAAAACATGCTTTTTATACCCACTGTGGAACCTAAGGGGTTAATCTTCTGCATTGTGTAAAACCGCTGTTTGATCCTGTCTTCTCTGATCTTCCCCTTCTTGCAGTGTCCCCCTCTTATCTCCTGATAAGACATATTGTGTGGAGTCACTCTGCACATGCTCAGTTTGGTGTCAATTGCTATAAAGGTTTTTTTTTATTTTCTTGGGAGAGTGCATGTGATCAGCACAGAGCCAATCAGCACTGTCCAGACAGAGGTGGGGGTTTCTGCATCGTCCTAGAGCAGAATGAACACTCCTCCTACAAGCTTTAACATGTGCTCTGCTGGACACAGAAGTCACAAGATTGTTCTAACTGCTGATGGGAAGAGGTATTTAGCAGTTTATATTTACTATAATAATAACATTTCCATGTAGTGTGTGCTGTGGGAGACCAGATATAGTGAATGTAGGATCCTGGGTTTAGGTCACCATGTGTAGACACAAAAAGTATAAATAAAGCATACAATTTGACTACAAAAATCACTGCACTTGTCAGTCTCTTAGGGGGTAGAAGAAAGACAAAGTGTATAGCTGTTGCAACGTATAGCACATCATGCGTACAGTATAGGCATCAGGATGATTATTATTTCATCATCATTGTATTAGTAAGCATACAAATAAACTACCCATATACATGCTACATGAGATTTCCCTATAGCAGAGGGTGGCCTGATCTACAGCAGATTTGGCCATTTCTATTGATGGCCAAATCCAATAGAAGAGTTATCAGAGCAATTAATTATTGGGTGAGGGCTATACACAAATGTATAAAGGATATGTTAGTCTTTCTTAAAGTATATGTGAACCTTCACCTTGTAAAACAACCAATTTAGTTTAAAATAGAAACGGAATGCAAAACATTTGTGTATACATATTAAACTTTATAAATACCCCCCTCACATTCTCTCTGTTCTCAGTTGCATAAGGACCTTAGAAAGCTGGGTAAGGAGAATCAGCAGCATACTGATCTTTCCAGTTAATGGCTGTGCAGGGGAGCATGTCAGCTCAAGACTAATCATTGGAGGAGAACAGGCTGAGTTCTCAGCACAGCTGGAAAACTGACCACGTTGTGCTCTGATGTCAAGTGTGGTCAGTTTTAAATAAGAAATCAAAGTGACTGCCAGAAACACCAGATATTTCACACAAAGGAAACAATGCAAAGAGAACAGGACACTTTTTCATACTGTACTTGGTACAGAAGGCACATATCAGGAATATAAAATTTTGGGTTGACATATTCTTTAAGATATTCAGTGTGTGTGAGCATCTTGAAACATTTTGTAGCAGCTGTTATAAATGCTTGAAATCCAGCTATAGAGTCTTTGTTGAGAAAGTATAATTTTCTCTGAATTCATGCCAATCACCACAAGAACACACAGAAAACAATTGTTTTCTGTGTTCCCTGTTCACAACAAAATGCTGCATTTTTCTTCAGCATGTTGGATCGTACCAGATATCACTACAGTGCAGCATACTATGCTGCTGTGCAGTAACCTGGATGAAATGTAAACTCTTTAAATTTTCAGTAACATAAAGAAGATGTAAAGGGTGCAATGCAGCACACTACACCATCCCCTCACTGCTCAGGAAAACTGACAGTATCCCACATGCTAAAACAGAGCAGTTTAGCATGCAAGCAATGTGAACGGGCTCTTAAAGCTCTTTTACTGTTTGTCAAGGATCGCTTAGTCTGGGAACAGGTACACTTTAAATACACTGCTCAAAAAAATTAAAGGAACACTTTTTAATCAGAGAATAGCATCAAGTCAAATAAACTCCTGGGATATTGATCTGGTCAGTTAAGTAGCAGAGGGGGTTGTTAATCAGTTGCAGCTGCTTTGGTGTTAATGAAATTAACAACAGGTGCACTAGATGGGCAACAATGAGACGATCCCCAAAACAGGAATGGTTTTACAGGTGGAGACCACTGGCATTTTTTTCCCTACTCATCTTTTCTGACTGTTTTTGCATTTGGCTAAGGTCAGTATCACTACTAGTAGCATGAGGCGATACCTGGACCCTACAGAGGTTGCACAGGCAGTCCAACTCCTCCAGGATGGCACATCAATACGTGCCATCAGACCCCAGAGCCAATCAGAAGAGAGAGTGGATGGGGCAGAGCCGTGGCTCTGTGTGTGAATGGACACATGGAATATTGAGTGCCCCCATAGCAAGCTGCTTTCTGTAGGGGCACACGACAGGAGGGAGGGGCCTAGGAGAGCCCACTTGGGACCAGATAAGAGGAGGATCCAGGCTGTTTTGTGAAAAAAACACAGCACACAGCAGGTAAGTATAACATGTTTGTTATTTTTAGAAAAAAATTAAGCCTTTAGTATCACTTTAGGCACAATCTTTGCAGGGGCCAGTAAGAGACTTGGCTTAGTTGAAGCAGATGAAAGGCACAAACTTGTTTCAGTAATTTGAGCAAAGTCCTTTTAGCACATAATAGAATGGACAAGTTTCTTCAAGATAAGAGCCAGTACCTACTTTTTCCTGCACTCTCATGCACCAGAGGGGTGGCTGGCAGCAGCCCACAGACTCAGTCTCTGAATTGATGCCTCCTTTCAATGTTTATTAGTAGTCCCAGACCAGATCCATCATGAGACAGTCCCTCAGTCAGCTTCCGTGCCTCTCAACTAGTCCAGCTGAGGCCTCACGAACAGAAGCACATGGCAGGGTTACCTGGAAGCACAGCATGCCCTCCAATGCCCTCCAGGCTTCACTTCTCCCTTCCAGTACAAGACAAGATTGCTCTAGAGCCCAACCTATTTATGCCCTTACCCATCAGCCACCTGTGTAAGGGCTCATATGTTTAGCTAAGGCAATATAAATGTTCATGCTGCCCTTTTACATTGCTCCATATCTATGTTTCAGAATTATCTAGGTAACACTGGAAATACAAAGTGAGAGTATTTAAATCAGAAGCCTGCGATTCACAGAGCAGAAACTAAACAATCACATGAAGCTGCACTGGATACAGTTAGCTAGAGCTAAATTTTCCTAACCCAGAATTGCAGCCACACTGACTTCAGTGAGACTAAGCCAAATTTACCTAGCACAAAAATACAACCTCACTGACTACATTGAGCAAACAAAATCTATCTACTCCTAGCTCCAATCTAGGAGGGTGCTACACTCACCCCCCCCCCCCCCCCACCAAAAATAGGCTATGTCCTCACTGGCCTGAGAGCTCCTAACAATTATCTTACCAAAAAGAATAAGAGCCAGGGGCAGACTGACCATTCGAGCACTCGGGCACTGCCCGAGGGTCCGGGGTCAGTAGGGGGCCCCATGAAATGCCTCTGGTACCTTTTTTATAGGCTTTTTTGAGTTTGGGCAAGGATACAGGGGCCCCATTATCCCCTATTGCCCGGGGGCTTCTTGAGTTGTCAGTCCTCCCCTGCTAAGAGCAGCATCCCAATAAAGAGGGAAAGGAAAAGGAAGGTTAAAAATTAATAAACGCCCGGTGGCATTCCACATATGGGCAACAATCAAGGTACAATATAAGAATAGCAGCATAGATTTGTAAATGTACACAATATTTACATAGCTTAAATGGTAGAGCCCTATCACAATATGAGGCATTAGCAATTCCCCACTCCCCTCTCCCCCGCCAAAATAAGGAGAGGTGAGGAGACCTAAGAATTAATCAAAATATACCTATATTTGCACTTATATAATAACATTTCACTAATATGTACAGCTTATCCTGTCTAAGTTCCCATTTTTATCTAAGCACACAAATATTACATGCACGCTCATCAAACTTAGCACTTTAGCCAAAGTATCACCTGGAAGAAAAAAAGAGATAGAAGTTACATCCTATAAAGCTAGTATTTACAATCTACTTACCAGTATAAGGATTGAAGCACTATCCCCATAGGGATAATCCTCTTAAAGGTCATTGGGTTAAGCATAACATTACCTGATCATAAATGTTATACCTAAACAGATCACTAATGCAGGGGCGTGCAAACTTTATTAAAGCACATACATTACCTTTTTCAGCAATATGTTTATATTTACTAAGCTACCATATCCTATCCTATAATAGACTATAAGGCCCTAAATGGGCTCAGAACGCACACTTAAATATTTACTGTCTAAATGCATTATACAGGTATCTTACCACAAAGAGTCCTTTAAAGCCCTGGAAAACAAAGCAGAAGACACATCCTAGCTAACTATACCTAACTAAATACTTACATATATAAAATTTTAGGCTAACACATTAAAACTCCTTACCCAGAGATAGTCACATCAGGAAACAATGTGTAGAGTTCAGTCTGTAAAGTCCAGTAAATTGAGTACTGGCTCTGATAGTCAGAGTCCATACACCCAGGGAAAGAATATGAATCCAAGTTCAATTGATTTTAGCAAGTGACCTCTTCTGCCACATCAGGAGCACAAACTCCTCTTTGATGATTCTCAAGGAAAGGAAAGCACTTGAAATGTCAATGGAGATCCTTCCCTTTTCTTTTCGTTTTTCAAGATAAGAAATTGATAGATGTCTTCTCCTCTAGTGTACTGCCCCCTTTCACAAAGGTAGCAACTTGGACATCAAAATGGTAGAAGACCCATTTTGTTACCTCTTTTGAAGAAATAAAGATTGTTCCCTATATTGGGCAACAGTTCAGTTCTCAGGCACTTGCAAGCTAAAAATTTGCAAACGTCCCACTCCCTTGGGCAGACATCTTCTTGTTAAAGTGGTATGGGATTTCTCCTTGTGTGGAGCACAATTCAGTCAACAAACAACTTGGAGCAAAATGCACAAGGGTTTTTTTTTCCCTTGGGTACACTTTTGTCAATGGCAGCCACTGTCTCCTGTCATAACAATGGCTCACTAAAACTTGACTTCAGCAAACTCCAGGCCAGAAGCTGAAGTACCCTCTCCCTAAATTGTAAGGATAGTAGGGAAGGGGTGTTTTTGGGGTACTCAGCAATTCAGGTCAATACATCTCAAACTTGTAACTTAGAACCTGAACTTGGAACACAATAGAAAGAAGTCTACTTTTCCAGGGGTAGACATTAGTTGATTGCTTGTCTCCAACACAACAGCCTACATGACTTGGCAACTTCAGCAGATCACCTGAACATGAGCTAAAGATTCCTCCCAACTGTTTTGACATGAAGGGAGAAGCCTGAAGAAAGGCGATGGCCACTTAGCTAAAGATTCCTCCCAACTGTCCTGGCACAAGGGAGAAGCCTGAAGAAGG